TCTCCCTTCCTCTCTGACACCAATAAAAATATATTTTAATTAATTAAATTAAGTTAATTAAATAAAATAAAATGACATCAGTTTCTACTGGATGATGCCGCCATGGTCACCGCAGGACCCCAGGGCTGACCCCTGCTGCTATCAACACCAGCCATTTGCTCCGGTGCCCTCTGCCCTCTGCCCTCTGCCCACCCTGGCTGCGCCTCCGGAGTAAATGTTTGCCGACGGGAGAGGAGGACAAACAGAAAGCGTGAATCACTGGCTGGAAATCTGGCGCCTCCCAGGGTTATCGCGACGCCGGAACCTTCCGGAGCCTCGCGGCCCGAGCAGCCGGGACATTTGGAGCCGAAGGAGCCGGTAGCCTCGGCTTCACTTCTCAGGCTCCACCGTCCAAGGGCGCCGGCCCCGCTGGCAGGAAGGTGCTGACGGGCAAGGACCACAGCGATGCAGTGTCCGTCCGCCCAGCCCATTTCAAATCAGAGCCCATGTTTACTTTTAAAAATTTTTTAACCTGGGCACAACCAAATGTGGTGGGCGCCAGGACAGAGGCCTCAGATTCCTCCGTTACCATGTTCATTGTTCCCGCACTCACCTGAGTACACGTCCATCCTTTTACTTTTTATCCAATCCCAGGACTTTCCCACCGCTGCTTTCTCCCGCCTCCTTACTCCATCACCAGTGGATTTCATGTCACCCACCCATGTCCCTCCTTTGATTTCAGTTAGAGAAATGTAACCCGCCATTCTCCGGAGCATTCTCTCAATCCGTTGAGGTTCTGCTTCGACAGTAAGGCTCAAATAAACTCACAAAAAAATTAAAAAAAAATTTTTTTTTAAATATATTTTTATTGATTTCTGAGAGGCAGGGGGAGGGGGAGAGAGAAGCATCCATGATGGGAGAGCATCATGGACCGGCTGCCTCCTGCACGCCCCCCACTGGGGATGGAGCCCGAAACCTGGGCCTGTGCCCCGACCGGGAATCGAACCCTGACCTCCTGGGTCACAGGTCCACACTCAGCCGCGGAGCCACGCCGGCCGGGCTTTTCCACAAGGACGACAGCGGCCCCAGGAATGCCCCCCCTTTCCCTCGAGGTCACGTCGGTCACACGTGGGGCTGACCTTCATTTTTTAATTGTTTCACCAACTGGAAAAACATGCGTTAAGAGTGAACGTTCTGGCCCAGCTGGCGTGGCTCCGTGGCTGAGCGTCGGCCTCGGAGCCAGGAGTTCCTGGTGGGATCCCGGCCGGGGCACAGGCCTGACCCCCTCGTGGGGGGCGTGTGGAGGCAGGCGATCCGTGACTCCCCTGGGCTGTGCTCAGGGCAGAGGAGGGCCGAGCGTGGCCATGGAGGGAGCCCCCCGCTGCCCTGCTCTCTGGGTGCAGAGAGCTCAGGAGAGAACCTTCTGGAAGGTTTGCCCAGCACCCCCTCGAACCCGACTCGGAGCCAGCGCCTCCGAGGCCACTTTGACCTTGAACTCCGTGGGATCCCGCTCACAGATGGGGGCCTGGGCGTGGGGGTGTGGGCGAGGCCGGTGAACAAGGCGGCCTTGAGGGCCGGGCAGGAGGGGAGGGGAGAGGAGGGGAGGAGCAGTGCGTGTGCCCGG